GGTAACAGACAAAAAAAAAAAAAAACACACATCATAGTAAAACCAATACCTTCTCAGCTTCGCATCGAAGCTAATATAAACTTTTTCATTAAAATATGATATTTGTTTTTTAGATTTATTACGAAAAATTGAAGAGTCAAATAAAATTGTTTGTTATAAGAATAATTAAAGAAATTTTAATTTACTTACACAAGGTTTTTTAATAATATTCTTTATTTTCAAATAAATAAATTTATATTATAAATAAATTAATATTATATTAATAAATAAATTACTATTCTTAGTAAAATATATTGTTTGATTAAAAGGTACTCTATAGATAAATGCTAAAAACAATTGTTTAAAATATAAATCGCTATCATATTATAAAAATACAATTACATTGAAATATTATAAAATGTATATTGTTATTATAATGGTGGAATAATAATATTTAGATTGTAGTGTTTAACAAGAGTAGTAAAATATAAATTACGAAATATTTTTAAATTAAGGATTACCAAACATTTCCAGAAATCATATGTAAAATGTTAGAAAAATATTGTATATATGACCTATTAACATTGTTTAGCTTTTTAACTATTTTATAACGAAAATTTTAGGAATATTTTCCTCAAGATAATTTTAGTACATATTATCAATATTATCAAAAATACATGTTAGACTAATGTTTACAAAAATATTTTATACATATTTCTTATTTAATATTTTATTTACTATAATATTATAATTCTTGAGGCAAGATTGATACATTAACTTACAGTGCCATATTTACGGGAATCAATGTCAATATTATCATCAAGACCACCACCAATTAATATAAAATCATGGAAGTGGAGAAGTGAAATACCCGCTATTCCACATGCTGAAAGTTATCTGGACTTCCATACAAAATTCTAAATATACCTTTAAACTCTTTATCATTTTTTTTATCTAATGAACCACCTGTCGATTTCCCAGTAAAATTTAAATTAAGAATAAAATATATTTTTACAAACCCATTTAAATCGATTTATATAATATGGCAATATTTCAATACAATATCAACATTGATATTATATCCATAATCGATATTCATTGTCAATTCCTAATAAATATATACATATAATAATAATATTTCAATAAAAAATAAAAATTAGGTACATATAATAAAAAATAATTTCAATTTATTCAGAAAACATTTAAGACCAATGTAGCTATCACATTAGCTAATTAGTCTACAGATGACTTAAATATTTATAAAAGTATATACAGAATCAATTAATAAACGACAGTAAAATGACTGTTGTGTTAGACCACCAGGGATGTTCTTTTGATAATATTTATTAACAAATCATTAATGTCATAAGTAGTGTTTTGGAGATTTACACTAGTTTACGGTCTATACCCACTAACATTTTTTCAAATTAATGTATATTCTGAAAAATAATACATATACTATCTACATTGATCAAATCAATTGACACAAATCTGTGTCTATCATAAAGTAACAAAAAAAAATTTTTTTTTTTATCGATATCTTCTTCTTTGAGTGCCGTATTCGTTAACAAACGTAAAGAATCATGTTAGTTATTTGGTCTCTATCAACGGCTGCTCTGAATAGAGAGCTCGTAGATGTATTGAACCACTTTCAAAGGTTGTCCATCCAAGAAATTTGAGATATTCCATGGTTCCTTATGAATATTGTAAATTTTAAACTTCAGTAAAATGATACCAACTCATAAAAGGAACATTTTAGAAAAAAATTTAAAATGTCAGAAGGAAGCACTATCAAAAAATCCTATTATCAAAAATGATAGTGCAGTTAAATAAATGATAAGATACTTGCGACTTTTCTCTACTTTTTCAAATGATAGCCCGAAGCTTCTTAAATAGATCTAATTTTTACTTTATACATAAACATTCTTTTTAAATTCAGTTTAGGGTGTCATATTGTTATTCCTGTTTTAAATAATGAACTCTAGTTTATAACAAAAAAACCCAGCACAGTGGGGTCGTGGCATAGTGGGGACGTTGAANAAAAAAAACCCAGCACAGTGGGGTCGCGGCATAGTGGGGACGTTGAATAGTTGGGTCCAGTATAGATTTAATCTGACAGTGATTAAAATCACTATCATAAGAAACGCTTCGATGTGGATANTTCGATGCAAATCTTTAGATAGTGTTTAATTTTAAAAATTGCGATTATTACAAAAGCTACATGATCTGCTATTCCATATTAATACCCTGATTAAGATAAAGTATGTCGAATGAAAAAGGGATTATTAAAAAATATTATTTCTTATAAAAAAATAATGTTGATCCATACACTTTTAAATATGTCATAGCATTATAAAGTTAAAAAAGTAACCAACCCAACCCAACATCAACTCCTATTTCCTTAATTATATCCAGATTAGTAATTCTTTTAATTATATATTATATAATTTCTATAATTAATTATTTTCAAATTATTATCGATTTTTAATGTGTTAAAATTAATCATTTTGAACCTACTTTTTGTCCTATAAAGTGAAAGTTTTAATAAAAAAAAATGAATTTATTACCATAACTTTTAACTCAACTTGCAAGTTTGAAATAGATAGATTAAAATCACTATCAAAAAAAAACGCTTCGATGCAAATCTTTAGATAGTGTTTAATTTTAAAAATTGCGATTNTCAGACTTTCCGGAACAGTTTCAAAATTTAAGTTGAAAAAGTAAATTTTTTGTGAAAAAGTTGTCATTTTAAATCCCCCCCTGTGGACAGGGATAGGGTCAGATATAAAAAACATATATAACAAATGATAGGTAAAGACATCATGCATCTATAAAAAAAAAATTATATTGATCCATACATCTTCCATAAAGTTATAGCATTATAAAGTTAAAAATATAAAAAAGAATTTTTTTACAAAAATCGTATTTTTTTTATAAACTTTGATGTCTGTTTTCACCATGAAGATAAAATAAAGTCCGAAATTTTTTTTTACCATAATAAAGTATATTACATTAGCTTTAATTTAAGATATATATAAAAGTGTCAGACCTTCCGGAACACTTTCAAAATTTAAGTTGAAAAAGTTCTACTTTTTACATGCATTTTTTAGATTTGAACCCCCCTCGTATATAGGGAAATGGTCCGATTTAAAAAAAACAGTATGTCAAATGAAAGATGTATATGAATACTACTCCTCATAAAAAAATTGTAGTGATTCATACATTTTTCAAAAAGTTATAGCATAATAAAGTTAAAAATGTAAAATACCAAATCGAAAATTTTCACACAAAAATAGCATTTGGCAGCCATTTTCACCATGAAGATAAAATAAAGTCCGAATTTTTTTTTACCATAATAAAGTATATTACATTAGCTTAAATTTAATATATATATAAAAGTGTCAGACCTTCCGGAACATTTTCAAAATTTAAGTTGAAAAAGTTGTCATTTTAAATCCCCCCTTGTGGGCAGGTTAATGGTTAAATGTATGAAATAAATATACCAAATGAAAGGTTATGGTATTATGCATCTATATAAAAAAGAATTATATTGATATGTTTATTTTTGAAAAAGTTATGGCACTTTTAAGTAAAAAGAATTGAAAAAATTTCGAATATTAGCGATTTTTAATTTCGTAATTTTTTTGGACGTTTCCCCCATTTACGGGGAACGAGGGTATTTTTTTCAATTTTTGAGGGTAATTTCTTCGACTAGATACAATTTGTGATCTTTTGACGTATCATTGAAAGATATCGGTTCGGTGAGAGCTGAGAAAAAGTGGTAACAGAAAAAAAAAAAAAAAAAAAACACATCTTAGTAAAACCAATTCTCAGCTTCACATCGAAGCTAAAAAATGAAATTTTTAAGATTAATATGCAATCAGAAAATTTTATAATTACTATTTACAGTACATTTATCAGAAAGATTTTTTTGCATTTTTATCGTAATAGATAACTGAAATAGATAGAATAGTAATCATTTCTAGTGGTTAGAAACGTATATTTCGCCGCACAAGGTCCCTGGTTTGATTCAATGAGTGTCCACGAGATTTTCTTATTGGTGGTTTTTGGTTTCTGATGTAAGCCGACTATAATACCTATCTTGTACATCTAAGGTTTCAATAAAAAATTATTATTATTTTAATATATTTATTTTCGTTAAATTCGATATCCACTTTCCCATAGAAGAAAAGGTATCGGGACACATTTTAGCTTCGATGCGAAGCTGAGAAGGTATTAGTTTTACTAAGATGTGTTTTTTTTTTTTTTTTTTTTTTTGTGTCTGTTACCACTTTTTCTCAGCTCTCACCGAACCGATTTCTTTCAATGATACGTCAAAAGATCACAAATCGTATCTAGTCGAAGAAATTACCCTCAAAAATTGAAAAAAATACCCTCGTTCCCCGTAAATGGGGGAAACGTCCAAAAAAATTACGAAATTAAAAATCGCTAATATTCGAAATTTTTTCAATTCTTTTTACTTAAAAGTGCCATAACTTTTTCAAAAATAAACATATCAATATAATTCTTTTTTATATAGATGCATAATATCATTACCTTTCGTTTGGTATATTTTTTTCATACATTTAACCCTTAACCTGCCCACAAGGGAGGATTTAAAATGACANTTCGTTTGGTATATTTTTTTCATACATTTAACCCTTAACCTGCCCACAAGGGGGGATTTAAAATGACAACTTTTTCAACTTAAATTTTGAAAGTGTTCCGGAAAGTCTGACACTTTTATATATATCTTAAATTAAAGCTAATGTAATTTACTTTATTATGCAAAAAAAAAATTTCGGACTTTATTTTATCTTCACGGTGAAAATGGCTACCGAATGCTATTTTTGTGTGAAAATTTTCGATTTTGTATTTTACATTTTTAACTTTATTATGCTATAACTTTTTGAAAAATGTATGGATCAGTACAATTTTTTCATGAAGAGTAGTATTTATATACATCTTTCATTTGACATACTGTTTTTTTAAATCCGACCATTTCCCTATATAGGAGGGGGGTTCAAATCTAAAAAATGCATGTAGAAAGTAGAACTTTTTCAACTTAAATTTTGAAAGTGTTCCG